AGATCATTGATTATTCGACTTATAAACTAATGCATACCAAATTGGCTAAGTAAAAAGTCAGATTATATTTAAAAATTACTACCCTTTTAAAAAATGATCACCTAATTTGTACCCTTAACACAACTATTGTACTAATTATGTGCTTCATAAGCAGCTATTAGCTAGGCATATGCATGGTCCTGCTACCGCAGCCAGACTGTAAGATGCTTTCATGGCGATTCTAGTTAAAAAAGAAGAAGAAGAAGAAGAAGAAGAAGAAGAAGAGAGTAGTGGAATATTAATAAGCATGCAGAAGAGGGATATATAGTGTCTGATTGTGTAACCGGGTACATCAGCTATAACTGATTTTCCAGCAAAGACTTGTCCAGAGATAGAGATGAGAGGAACTGCATGCATATATAAACTAATCAATGTCTCTGCTGGTTCCCTGGTCAACAACACTCCCATCGTTATGTACACTCACCACTCTCCAGATTCATTGTACCTACATTTCTTAACTAACTTAACTACACATGGGGGGATAAGGCTTCAAGATCATGGCTTAGCTAGCTTACCCTTCTCTTAATCATGTGGCTGATTGTGTTAGTAAATGCTATATGCTTTATAATTCAATATTTCTAAAAAAATTGAGTTATTGGAACACATATTGGTTCTTGACATGGCATTAGAGCCTTCTGCGACCGAGAAATCTTCTGTTCGATCTCAATGACCCCTTATGTTATGTTAAGCACGTAGTATCTGGTGCAAACTTCAACCCCTTCTAATTAATTGATTGACTTTCGAGGAGTGTAATAATCAACCACTTTGATCATTGATTCATTGCCTTAGCTTACACTGTTTAATTTTCCAGAGATAACCACTACAATCTAGTTTGAAGCCTCTCTAATATTTGGCTTTCCCATCAACTACTATATAAATGTGCATATTAGAATATGCTGGAATGAAAACCATTAAAATTAAATAAACTCTACGATTATCACTAAATTTGATATCAACAATAATATTTGTTGGGATGAGATATATACAAACACATGCATGAACGTTATTATTGAGCCTTTTCAATAATGGCCGGCTCTCTTTTGAATGATGTTATTGGTGTTAATTGTTAAACGATAATTTATTAGTTTCAATAATTCGAGTTGTTCAAAGAGATTAAATTATTAATTTTATACCACATACTAATACACCCCACTCAAAACAAAAACCACTTATATGAACTTGAAATTTGCACAGTCCAAAATACTATGTTCTTAATATATAAGGTCGTCGGGATTCTAACATAAAACATCTCGATCATATAAGACTTTGATACCATGTCAAAAACCTGTTAGTCGTCCCAATAACTCAAATTGTTGGAAGATGTTCAAATACAAATCATATATCACCTAATTGGCAGGTATAGGTATATATATATGATTTAACATGTGGAAACGGACAGAAGCAACAAGAAGTGTACATGGAAGAGCCATTAAGAAAAAAAGTTCTTCTATCGTTGTTGGTAACCTTGTCAATATGTTTGTCAGACAACTTTTTAATTAATCATAATTAGAAGATAATTATCTCTAAAAACTGTGAAGATGCTAGTCGAGGTAGTGCAACTTATTTACGAAATAAACGAACTTAGAGCAACGTATGCCTTAAGGAGTTAGGGTTCCACAACCCAGGATTAAGGTTCCTTGCAAGCAGTAATTAAGTATCCACGAAGATAAATCTCGATAAGATGCTCTTTTTCAATGGAAATACTTGAAAATGAACAGTGGCACTGGCAGCAGCTACAATACAATAATAATAGGGTGGGTTGTTGAGTTCCTCTATTCCCAACGTCAATAATTGGAGCACCCCATACCGTTCCCCTTACTTCCAGCTTTTACTTGTCTGCTTTATGTATGTCTTCAATGATACATAATCTATTTTTGGCTTCATGAGAGTTTTAGTAGCTTAACTATAATTTGTTAATGAACACATTATGTAATATGTCTGCTTATTACTACGGTCTTACTTCTATATGTCAATGATATGCTGATTTTTGGGAATGATCAAAGCAGGAATAGAAGAGTTAACCGCAATGGTGTCTTGGGTGTTGTGGGGTACCTAGAACTATGTCGGTTTAGGGTTTCCTCGTCGGTGAAGCCATGCCTACATATGTTCAAGTGATTGTAAACGGTACACTAAGTGGAATACGAGAGACTTGGACGGATTCTCTCTCTTGTGGACTAGTTCTGAACAGGACGGTCCTATGATATATCGAGGCCCTATTCAAATATTTAAAATGTGGTGTTAAAATTTTTTATCCATAAATTTATTAAAATTAAAATTTATTAAATAATTATAAAAAAATACTTAAGTTCAGAAAATGATTACAAAAGGAATAAACGATCTTGCTTCCAGTTTGACCAAGAAACCAAGACCAAATTCCGAGCACTAGAAGGGAGGAAAGTAAATATGGAAGGAAGAGAAAATGGATATAACACAAAAATTGAATGGAGAAATGAAAATAGTTTAAATTGATCGAGAGGTGGGTGCAGGGTTGTCTACTAGATTGTGGAGGCCCTATTTCAAAATCGAGACGAGGTCCAAATTGACTTTAGCTATAATAAAACTAAAATAATTATAATATTATTATTCAAAATGTAATATCTTTCTATATTGTTTAAATTAAAACTATCTATTATCTATCTGATTTTTGTATTCTCCATGGGATCCTTTTCAATTGTTATTATAGTTAAACTTATCTATTAAACACGTCATCATACTCATAATCAATCAATCATACACTAAAAATACAACCTACAATATATGATCGATAACTAACAAATATAAGTAGAGGCCCCTAATATTCGGAGGCCTGTGTTGGAGGACGGGCCAGCACACCCTCTTGGCCGACCCTAATTCTGAATTCTTCAATTCTTCAAAGATATCACATACATTTGATGTTCATGTTTGAATAACAAATTAGCGCATATGCTATGTTGTTTATCCGTTTCTAGTCTTCGTCATTTCAAAATTTTATAAAATAATCACTTAATGCTTACCAAGCATGTACTTAATAATTATCATCCGCGTATATACAATGGAAATCTACAAATCACCCATCTACATCACCAAATTTGCTAATCTCACCCCGTTTAATTTACTAAGGAGAATGTGACATTTACGAGTACAATTGAGAGACAACTTGATTCATTAGTGTAGAGAAGATATCCATCCCAACAACTAGAGTTTGTTAGAAAAAAATTAATTATGAATTTTATACTACATAGTAATAATTAAAAGTACTAGCTAATACAAATTTAAACACGATTGAATTGTATAAAATCTGTAAATTTTTTCTCTATGGTATTCGTAGGGCTAGTTTGGTGCTGCTCTACTTTTTGCAAAAACAGCTTCTAACTTGAATTTTTAGTGAAGCCATTTTCAGACAAGACAGTGACTTGTTTGATTCAAAAACTATCAGAAGTATTTTTTAATATAAGAGGTAATAAAAAAATAAAAAAAAATTCTAATTTATAATTTTAAGAAGTAGTCAAAATGGATATTATTAGATTTATTTAATATTAAATATATATTTTTAATTTATTTTCTTTTAAAATGATATAAATGTATGTTTTCTGAATACAAGAGAATAATTTTGTATTTTCAAAATATCTTTTTAGATAAGTTCCAAATCAAAGTTTCTGCTTTCATATTATACAATTTTTAAAAAAAAATTTAGTTTATAAAAGTATTTGACTCGGTTTCAACTTTTGATGTAAAAAATCCCTTTCAGAAATCGGGCCAAACATAGCTTGACACATTTGACCTATAATCTCTTATTGCTTTATTTTCTTCTTTTTTCTTCTTCCTAATGGAAAAATTGTTACTGCTGATAAATAATTCATGTGCGTGCCTTTTCATTGAAAATTATTGATGTCGGGGTTGAAGCTATATATTCCGTTTGACTGCCAATCGGTGTGGTGACGATGTTCATGAACCAGGACATAAATATGAAACTTGCACATGTTTTTTAAAGAACATCAATGTAGTTAGAATGATATATTTGAATCTAAACTAATAGGCTGACAACAGATGATCAAGGTTGGATCGACATATGCACCATTTTGTCTGCTTCATTTCTAATAGTGCATGAAAGTACATCATCTCAAAGCATTATCACATGCATGCATTCTCCCACTAACTAAATACCAGTAATTTTTGTATTATATAAATTAGGGATGTCAGTTTGATTTGGTGAATCAAACTATCAAGTATGAAAAACCAAAAATGGAATCAAACAATTCCCAAAAATCAAAATCAAAAGGCTGAGAGATTTATTGATTAACCGAAAAAGATAAGATTTTTAATGATTTTTTGGTTTAGATAAATAAAAAAACTAAAACCAATCACATAAGTTTATGAAATTAAAAAAGGAAGTAAGAAAATACAGCAAGATGGATAAAAATAAGAAAGAAGTCTGCTACACATAAGTTGGCGACAATACACGTTGTTGTTGGATATTGACTAAATTAGGGTGTTATCGGTTTGTTATTTACTTTTCGATTTTAATCGAAATCAAAACCATTAAGATGCTAAAGAGTTAACAACAAAAATCAAAAATCAAAACCGTTAACCTTCTATCAGTTTGGTTTCGGTCAAAACAGGAAAAACAAAACCAAAACCAAATGAACAATCCTAATATTAACTTCTTTTTTTTTTGCAAGCGAAGATTGAATTTGCATGTAATATCAGCCCATGATCATAATGATACTGATAAGATATGTAAAAAAAAACAATGCATTATTCAATTTCACCCATAGTCCAAAGACCATAATAAAAAAAAATCATCATTTGATATAACAACATTACTTTTACCATAGGAATATAAAATAATAGACAAGTAAGATGGGGGAAGGAGTGATCCAACTTTTAAGCAGTTTATCTTTCCTTAAACAAATAGTATCCAAGCTATCCCCAACATGGAGGACCACCCTCTCTATAAAATGTTGCCATACCTCAATGTGGGAGTTACTTAAAAAAAAAAAGAAGGAAGGAAAACGGCACAAGAAGAAAGAGGAAGAAGAAGCAAAACAAAAGTGAGAAAAGGGATCGAGAGACCAAATAAGAATTATCAGATATATGGAAGGAGAAAACAATAACATGAGCGGCAACGAGGTGTACAAAGAATGCCTGAGGAACCATGCAGCCAGCCTCGGCAGCTACGCCACCGACGGCTGCGGCGAGTTCACCCTCCACGACACCGCCGCCGCCGCCTCCTCTCCTCTCTCCCTCCAATGCGCCGCCTGCGGCTGCCACCGCAACTTCCACCGCAAGCTCACCGCCGCCACGTCCAGCTACATGGTGGACGAATACGGAGGAGACCATAGGCTCCGGCAGCCGTCGGTGGGGCCGGAGGAGAGGCGGAGCGGCGGCGGAGGGAGGAAGAGGCACCGGACGAAGTTCACGGCGGAGCAGAAGGAGGAGATGATGGGTTTCGCGGAGAAGCTCGGGTGGAGGCTGCACCGGCATGTCAGCGGCGGTAGCGACGAGGTGGAGAGGTTCTGCAGAGGGATTGGCATCAGCCGCCACGTGTTCAAAGTCTGGATGCACAACCATAAAAATTCTTCTAATATCTCTTCTATTTCTTCTCCTCCTCTTGATCTGTATAACAACAATTCGTCTACTTCCATTAATGCTACTACTACTACTACTGCAAATGCCTCCTCTCTTACCACTCAATGACATTTACACATAGATCTTACATGTATATTGTTTCTGTTTGCATGATGGGATATATGTAAGAATAGGTTCCAAATCTTTGATGGATTCTTGTTGTTCAATTAACAAGCACTATAACAGTATTTGTTGTAATTTGAAAACATATTATATATATATGCCCCGCCCCGATTGATAATTATGAGGTCTCGCGTTGGAGAAGTGGCTATAAATCTCTGTAATCTGTATCTCTTTGATTATAGTAATACTGATTTATCTGTCTGTGAAGTAGTTGAATTAACATACATAGTATTAGTTAACTATGTAAATGTGTGTTCTTTACTGTCTGTCTTCTGTTGTTAATTGGTTTCCCAATCCTTTGTAACTTCTGACAAACAAATTGACTGATCCAAGCTCGATGGACTGCTTACTGCAGTATGAATAGATCCGTTATTATATACCTTACCGCGTGCGTTGAGCAAAACTGCGAAAGAAAGATATAGCATAGAGAAAGAAAAAATGCATGGACCCGTTCATGATTAGCGAAAGGGCCAATTGGTCGCCACGGGCAATAAAATGAGACGTGACACCCATACTGTGTATGCTCTGTCAAAACTGTCGGGTTGGTTTAACTATAATTGCTTCGTTTGTCTTTCTGTCGACTACTCCACCATCTAAAATAATATACTACCAAGCAATTACTACCCAATACCCATACTCATTTCTCATATGTGTTTTGGTTTCTGTCGATCGAGCTGATCTGGATTGCAAAATAGTTGTGAAGAATTTTGGCTCCAGCTAGCATATTTCCATTTTCATTTGACAGTACATTTCGAGAGATAGCATGAATTGCCGTATTGATCGATTGAATACTATCAATTTAGACTTTACATGGTGATTATATTGGAGTCGTCATTACTTTCCACTAATCAAAGTGCAATTTTTATCCCAAAATATTCAATATTTTAAAACTTCCCCAGCCTATTATATAGTTGTGTGTCATTTATGTCTTGGCGATTTCATTGATTGTTATCTAATGATTGACCTGACGACGGTCAAAATGATATTCACTTTCGGTAACGTGACATCCACGTAGATTGACGTATCATTATTTTATTCAAAATTAAATTATATATGATTAATATAAGAAAAAAATACAAAATTATTAGATAAATCAAATGAAACTAATTATTGGGCTCTGCATCGCCCCTCCGCCCCATCTACCCCGCTCTACTCTCCCCGATGATTACCTGTCGTCGTCTGTAACCTCCATCCTGACTGTTGCGGCGAGTGCTTCTTGCTATTCTCTATGTCGTTTTCCGGCGAAAGGACTATCGGATCCCCTTGAATCCCAATTCCCAAATACCCATCACCATCAACAATAGATGTTGAGTGTTGCGTATTGGGCTTTGGCCGACCCATATTTCGGCTCTATGAGTTGTATATATATGTATGTAATCGAACCTGTTGAAGTTAAGCTGAATAAGAGATACAATGGTTTCGGCCGTGGACTTGTCTCGTTCATCCTGAACGAGGAAATCACGTAACTTTGTGTGTTGGTTTACGTTTTTGTTTCGATATTTCTGTTATAGTTAACATGGTATCAAAGCCTATGTCTTATGAATAGATTCCCGCACATCTCAACTCCAAGAATTATGCTGTATGGGAGTTGCGACAACTCTTGAATAGCTCGTCAACAAGGCTATTTCCTCTTCATTTGCGAGTTTGCAGGTTTCTGGTAAGATCCCTAAATGGATACTTGATTCTGCATGCTTTAATCATGTGACTAGGGATGTTTCTGATCTTACGCAATTACAACTTGTTGATAATATTTCTCTTCACGTTGCTAATGGTGAGAAGTTACATGTATCAATCATGGGGTTGGTTAATAGTTTGGATATTAAGTTGTCATCTAGATTTCATGTGCTGAAGTTAGTCCCTAGTTTGGTTTCTCTGGGTCAACTTACCGATCCAGGTTATCGTATTACGTTTGCACCCTCTAGCTGTGTTGTCTAGGATCCGACGAACGGGAGGGATATCGGCAGGGGTAGCAAGAAGGGACACTTATTTTATCTTGAGAAATTGCATCCACCATCATCATCCGTCTCATCATCCAGCTTCGAGCCTTGTACCTTTTCTCCTACTATTTTTTCGAGTCTTCCTGATAAAACTTTTCAGTTATGACATGCTAGATTGGGTCACTCCAATTCTAGTAGACTTACTACTATATTTGGTCTAAATACCCTTGGTCAGTGTTCGTCGGATTTTTCTTGTACTAGTTGCATTGAGGCTAAGACTACGCACATTTCTTTTCCATCTAGTCTTACTACTATCTCTTAACCCTTTGATTTGATACAAACTGATCTTTGGGGACCTAGCCCCACCATTTCTCGACTTCGATATAAGTACTTTGCGCTATTTATTGATCATATACATGGGTATATTTTCTCCGCCTAAAATCTGACCTCTTAACTGTTGCTACTGAATTTCTTGCCATGATTAAAACTCAGTTTGGTCGAACTGTTCGTGTAGTCCGTTCTGACCCTGGAGGAGAAATTAGTTCTGGTCCCTTGTTAAATCTTTACCGGTCCCTAGGTATCCTGTCTCAGAAATCATGTCTTGGTGTCTCCCAACAAAATGGTCTGGTAGAAAGGAAAAATCGTCATGTTCTTGAGGTAACCCCTGCGCTCTTGCTCTCTTCGTATGTCCCCTCCTCTTTTTTGGCCTGAAACTGTTGCCACTGCTGTTCGCCTCATTAACTACCAAATTACTCCTATCCTATATAATACCAGTCTTTTTTCAAAACCACCACCTTACTCTCGCCTTCATATCTTTGGGTGTGTCTCCTATGTTCTTCTCCCTCGGTCTGAACATACTAAACTTACGTCTAAGACAACTCGTTGTTGTTTTCTTTGCTACCTTTGGTACGATCCTGTTGCGCGTCGTGCTCGTATTGCCTGTCATGTCGTGTTTCTTGAAAATTCGATGTATCATTCTTCCATTCCTGCGTCCGATCCACTATTGTTTGATATGTCACTTGCACCACCTTCCTTTCCTGATGATGATGACGATGATCTCTCCGACGATCTGCTACCCCCCGACTCCCCTCTCTCGAACGCGACATTTCTCCAGATTCGTCCTCCCACAACTCTTCCCCCAGGGATACATCATCATCGTCTCCGCCTCTAGTGGAGCCTCTTTGCCGATCGCTCCGTTCCACTAAGGGTGTTCCTTTCCGCCTGCTCGTCACATGGATTTCTTGGCCTACTGTGTTGATCCCATTCCAGTTCCTACACGTTATTCACATGCAAATTAGAGACATCCCGAGTGGGATAATGCTATGACATAGGAGATTGACGCACTTCACGCTAATCACACGTGGGACATGGTTCCTTGTCCTCCACTATCTATTCTGGTTATTGGCCCTCGCTGGGTGTACGCTATCAAGGTTCGTACAGATGGTTCTCTTGAGCAGTTTGAAGCCAGAGTGGTGGAACATGGTTTTTCTCAGGAATATGGGATTGATTTCGAGGAGACTTTTGCTCCTGTGGCGAAGATGGTTACTGTTCGCACTCTATTCACTACAACAAAACGTCTTTTAGCGACGATATTCAGAACATTAGCGACGGTCGCACCCGTCGCTAGAACTTATAACGACGACCAACCAAACGTCACGGACCCAGCAATCTATAAAATTTTTTGCGACGCTTTTGGGTTGACCGTCGACAACATTTAGCGATGGTTGTAACCGTGGTTATTTTTGAAAGAACCATCGCTAAATAAATATTACGAAAATAGGACTAAATTACTTAGTGACCGTTCTGACCATCGCTAAAGGTAACATTTTTTAAATTACCTTCTCTTATGATAACACCACAAATCTGTTGTAATTTTTTAATAAACAATTTAGCAATTCAATTATGAAAACCAATCTGACTTTGAATTACCAATCATCAATATAAACCATCATTCAACATTCATCCAATTGAAAATCTAAGATGTTTAACATTCTACAAAAAGTTAAAAACTATACTTAAACAAGTGGCTTAGAGTTCTACATGCAGTCCTAAACTCCTACTTGCAATCCCTCTTATATAGCTCTCCTTATACTTTGTGATTTGCAGTCCAAATCCAACACTTCAGCCCTTCAAAACCGAAACTGCCCTTCAAACAGTCACAAGCAAGAATATGATTATGAATTCTAATTTGTTTATAATACTAACCAACCCTTCCTACTAAGAGATTACATTAAAAACCATATAATCGTATGTACCTTTTAACAAGTGAGAGCTACTTTTGTTGTCTCGCACCACCATTCGAAGAGTGGGCAGAATGTTGAGTCGTAGAGTCAAGAGGACACTGGAAATAGTAAAAAAAAAAGAAGTTACACGTTACAAACTAAAAATTTTATTCAAAGGTTCTTGCATTCAAAGTTATAACTTACTTGTTGTTCTAATATAGTCAGCTCCAGAGGCATGGGACATTCATGTGTTGAAAAATCTTGACAAACCACTCTTCATACTTCTTATTCTTGTCTAAACTTTGTTGCAACTTAGACAACAAAATTTCTTCCTTCTCACTCCCAGGATCAACATATGACGATTCTCCAACATATTCAGACGAGCTAGAAAAAACCTAATACCTTAGATGGAACAACACCAGCCCCCATACCTTGCATCCTACCTGATTGTTCTTTGCCCAAAACTTGGTCTAAAGAATCATTAGGTGCTGCTTTCTTTGGCATAACACCAGTTGCTTCGAGTGCTGCAATTTTTTCCTACACCATAGTTCACCAAAACAATAAGAAAAGAAGAAAACATGGAAACAAACACATTCATCAAATGTGATGAAACCAGAAAGTAGAATGGAAAATGATCTTACACAAACTTCTCTCGTCTTGGGGTTCAAATATGATCCATCTGGCCTTTTGTGAGTATCAATGAAAACTTGTCCTCTAGAAACCTCATGTCCACTTCTCTCACTCTATATGATACAATAAGAACAATCTAAGTTAGGTAGGACCAACTGTTATTATAATGCATGAGCAGGCCAAATTATAAGATGTTGCTTTCTGACTATCAAAGCAACATCGATAAGAAAGTAGTTAATATATATGTGCCCTGGAAACAAGCCCCTTAATTATATCAATTGCCGCAGAAACAAGAGATTCCCATTTCCCAATAAACCAAACACTAATGAACTAATTGTAATTGGAGACTGCACTAGATCTATAATTTGACTTAACTAGCACTCAAACTGTGATGCATATTGCAGTAGCATCACTGGACCATACACACAGAGATACACACAGTGATGCATATACATTCAAACAGAACAAGGATCATAATTTGATGCAATTTGACATCATTTAAGCACCTTAAACATTCTTATTCTAACAACATGAAGGAAATAGCTAAGAGCATACCATCTCAACAATTTTCCGAGTAATTGACTTTGGGCCTCCTGTATGATTGAGCTGATATTCACCCCTATTTCTAGTATTTCTCACAGATATATCCTTCAATAAGAAAAATACAGAGTACTAGTTAGCCTCTTTATCATGGGAAAGATTCATCTTGAAAGAAGTCAAACAACCACATCCCACCTGAGTAGCCTTTCTTTGGCGACAGTCGATGAAAGTAGCCCAATTGTTCTTTGGGAATCCCTTCAGGAGGATTGTTGATATTCTGCTCCCTTGTCCATGCATGTTTGTACTTTTTTCTGTAAAGGTTAAACCTGTTTCCCTTCCATTTGCTGCCTAAGAAGCTCAAAATGTACTTGGTTGCCCTATCTTTGTGTCTGGGCTCCACAAATACTTTGTCCTACAAACATCAACGATTCAATGCTTAATAATCCAAATCAACATACACAAAACTACTCATTATTATCAAATAGTCTCTATATAAGACTACTTACATCAATTATACTATGGAGGACTTCATTCTTATAACTAGAAGGAACAACATGCTAATTATCATAGCTTATGGGAAAATAGTTGGCAACCCTAGTTGTGAGTCCCAAGAATTGGCCAAGTAGGCCACCACCATCATGAACAAGATGATTCCTTACAAATGGCACCACAAACTTGGTGCCATGAGGAAGATACCACACATCTCGTGCATGTAGATGTGTCATGGACCTCTGTCCTTCAGAATCTGCGAAATAGAGCACATAGATAATATGATAGCTTTGATGGTTAGTGAGTTTCTAAGAGGTTTTCATTTTTCATTGAGACCCTTCATGGTTGCTCAATAGATCAGAATGATTAGAATCTAGGACACAGGCTGTTGATTTCAGCTAAACAGAATAATGTAGCTTTTGCAATGAATAGAACAAAATCAGAAAAATACAAGAGTATTACAGCTTACCTATGACTTGAAGTTTCCAGTATGGTCTGTAAGCAGCTTTATAGTAGTTACCATATCTAAAAATCAAAGAATATATCCATGGAATATCCATTAGAAAGATGAATACAATAGTCGAATGAAACAACGTTGTAAGAGCTTATAATTAAGTTACAGTCACGAGTATTGATACTACTGGTTGATTCTATTAGCTCGCGCTCTATAGTAATGAGAAACAAGATATTACATGCAAAGAAAGACAATATTGAATCGAATGATGCACCCAGATATGGTTCCCCCTAGACTGCAGTTAAGCCAAGTTGTAATTTTCCAAGTTAAGATTCAATGATAATTATACTGCGGGAGGTTCTTAGATAGTTTGTAGTCTCGACTAAAGGTCTCCAGACCCTCTCAATCTGAGTCTCCAGCGGGCGACTAACCTCCAACGGAGTAAACAGGCTGAAGCCCTAACGTACCAAACCTCCTCTACTGGAATAACTCCACTACAGAATAGTGAATTGACTACTCGACTAAATTATCCAATTCACTACATTCAATCAAGGGTGCTATATCAACCTAGGAAGATATTCTCATTCTAGGTCAAAGCAGGTAAAATACGAATTTGATCCGGATTCATGCAATTCAGAAAACCATGCCTCAATTGAATATAATCAGTATAAAAAATTCGTACTTGGGTTCATACAACCAAACCTAATATACAAATCTAGGGTTCTTCATATCTAGGTGAGTGAGAGAGTTTACTCCATAGAGAGAGAAGGGAAATCTAGGTAAGATGCAGAAATCAAGCTGTGAAGGATGAGAATCTGCTTCTGGTAATCAATCTGCACTTCTCCAAGCTTTAGCCGAGCTCCAATGGTGATGAAGATCGATCTAGGGCGCTTGGAGACTTTGGTTCGTCGCTCTCTCTCTCTCTCTCTAGGTATCTGCTTTCTTTCTCTAGAATTCAGATCCCCTCTCAACTTGGTCTTCTTTCCCTCAAAAGGCAGCAGAACGCGATACCCAGCCATAATACACAGTCGGGTATTTTAGGTGATCATCCGGGTATTTTGAAACGCTGCGCACTGGATAAGGCTCATATGCGATCGAGGTCCAGAATACCCGATCGGGTATTTAAGCGATCCGGCTGGGACCCCTTTTGTTTCCTGGCCTCCAAAATGTGCTTTCCCCGACCTCCTTTTGCATTTTACCCGGTTGGGTATTTCAAGGGCCGACCGGGTATTTTCTTCTTCCATCGCCCTTCACTCCAACTTCCTCCCTTTTTGACCCGAAACTCGTTTCCACGCCTCCCTGTCCACGCCAAGTCCTAAAAATGACATGAATGCACAACCTAGCGTGAAATCGGCTTAAAGCACGAGAATCGACTCTCAAACGGCTCAAGAATTGTGGTATAAACATGTGCGATTAATGGTCTATCAAATACCCCCACACTTAACTGTTTGCTTATCCCCAAGCAAACCTGACTCAAACCAATGAAGCTCTCTAGACCTCTGTAGCAACACACAACCCCGATCGTCGGTAGAGAATTTTCTAGATCAATTAGCAACTTACGAGGTCAACTGGTCTTCTAAGACGTCCCCTATCTCTCTCAATGTGAGTATTAGACTCAAACCAGGATCATGAGAAACAGTGGAACTACGAAAACCAGTTCATGGATAAAGGGACTCACACAATTAAAAAACCAGGGACTCATTGTATCGGGGTGCCCTTTCACTTCCTTTCAACCGTTGGAACCCCTTTTCGCACTTTCATTTTACATTTCCTTTGTTTTCCATTCACTTTGTGGGGGTTCCAACTGCAATTTTTTTGTACGGTCGGCCCTTATTGGTTGAGCAAGAGAAATTTCTGTACATCTGTCACTCGCCAGAGTACTTCCTTTAACTCTTTTTCCTCAACTCATGTGGAGGGTCAATGAAATTAAGTGGGTCAGAAGCTCTATCCGTGCCCTTAAAAACACATCCTCGAGTAGGCAAACCGTTCAACGGGTGAAAATTTTACTTGTACTAGAGACAACTTAGCTTCACCTTGTAGGAGTACCCCACTAAGGATCACTAAAATCTCTTCCAAAAGCATATTTTGTGCAATGAACGGTGCCACACACGTTGGGCTTACTCCATGTTTAAGATTTCTATTATTCTGACATGGAGGACCAACTGCTTATTCATTTCACACATGAGCACCCTGTTTCGTTACACGAGTCCACAACACAATATAGAAGGAGTCACCAATACCACATGAATTCAACGATCTTAAAACCACTAGTTCACAAAATCAACCGGAACAACAGCGAAATAGATAGGAAAAATCTTATACCTCAACATCCTCCATAGTACTACAACTACCTCCCTAGGTTGCATATCACAATAAAGACTGTCAATTCAAGCATACTGAGCAGGTTATTGCAGGGAACAGTACTTGGAGCCCTCAAATTTCAAAATTTGGACAGTGGACTAGGCTCCAAGTACACAAACAGAGCTAAGCAGTCAAATAGAAACATCCCCCACACTTAAGTTTGACATTGCCCTCAATGGAGAAGAGGGAAAGATAAGGGGAA